GAGTGTTCAAGGTATTTTCAGTCAGGGTCTTGTGTTACTGGCAGTCAAAGGCACAAGTGAACCTCTACAGCACGTCCTGGTATGCCCCGACCTCCTCAGCCTGTGCAGCTTCCAAGTCCCACGTGTGTCCTGGCTGCGCATCCTAAGATGGAGGCTGGGCTACCTAGAGTGGCTCTTGACATCCGTTCCTGGGGTTCTGGCCTTACTGTAATTACGACAGGGTGGCTTCAGGAAAGACTGAGATTCCAAGGTCCCTGAATTCAGAATATACTCTTGATATTTGCAGAGACACGCTTTGAGTTCACTTTCAAATTTGCAAATACAATGGTAATGTAGTTTCTCCACTAAACAAAGTAAACTAACAGTAAGTAATCCCCTTTGAATCTTAATTCTACAGATACAGGACTAGAATAAGTAGTCAAGTTACTAAATTCCTTCACTAAAATAAACTCTATCCTACATGACGTTATGTCATTTTTTAGCCACATTTACTATGAACTCTTACTTAAATTTCCAAAAATAAGGTGAAGAGGATGAAAAACAATTTTTAAGGAATACATCAGGAGAGTTATTAATTACATGAAGATGCATTCTCTGAGTGACTGACAAAAAGACACTCACTTCCCCAGACCCACCTTATAGTGTATATCTGTATCAATTTTCTGCTTCAGCAAAATTACAAATTCATAAATATTACACATCTTTGGGATTGTTCAAAGATTGAGAAGTATCATTTTTTGAATGCTTAAAAGTCATGGGTTTCTTTTCTTGTTCCCACTGCTATAGACTGATAATGGCTTCCTCAAGTGTCGGGCTGAGAAGGACTGTGAGGCCCTGTCAGGGTTTGGCGGGAAAGCGTGCTGGTATTGATTATGAATGGCTGCCCTGGATGTGGGTGGAGGCGATGGCAGCAGCCATATTGTGTTTCTGCAATCCAGGGTTGACACAGTTTCTAACTACCAGGCTTGAAAGGCAATTAGAACATTGTCAGGCCTTATTCCATAATTTCAATTATTCTTAACTTCAGGATAAACTTATTTATTTAATCAATGTACATTTACTAAGTACCTTCGATACATTAGGTATACTGTTAGGCACAGCAGGAAATTTTTTAAAAATCAGACTCAGGGCTAATTCACAAAGAACTTAGTTAACAGAAGAGAAAACTATATGCGTTTTTAGGGTATGAAGTGATAAAATGCTGTAAGAAAGGACTAGATAAGGAGTGGGAGAGAACATAGGTCAAAGGTGGGAAAGTCACTGCTAGCGAGTATGGAAGGTGCTCGGCGAGCCATGCTGGGGAGGGTGCATTGGAACGGAGCCTTGCCCTGATGTAAGTGAGTAAGATTGTTGGAATGGATAGAACGAGAAGACTATTTCAAACTGAGTGGCCAGAGTGAGCGAAAGCACCAGAGTGGAAAGCTGAAAGCTGCGGGTGACTGACTGACTGATGAGAATATGTAGTTGCTGTTTGTTCCAGCCCCCCGGCAGAGTGAGCGGGGTGCCTGTTGGGCTTCATTAGATTGTCCTGCTGATGTGACATCCATTTTTATAAGGGTGTTTGGGCCAGGGGAAAATCTGTTCTTCGGAAAGACTATTTTTCATCACCATTTGATGGGTGACAAATAACCCATGTCTTAAAGTAAAGGAGAAGCCTCTTTGGTATCACACACTGTACATTTTTATTGTAAACCTAAGAGAACTGATAAAAGTTCCATCTTTATTTTCTTAACGGCATACAGAGTCATCAAATATTGCCAATGAAGAATATTCCTGACATCATATTATTCTGTTACATGAATAAGGCAAAAATTCTTTAACACATTGCTGAGCCACGAACTAGCTGTTGATTTGTTGAAAATATTTGTGAAAGCAGTCAGAGTAAAATTGCAAATAGCTCACTCTTCACATGCTCCTATGTCATGTCCTACATGTGCATACATACAAATGTGAGGTAGGGTTTTGTTAAATTTCTTTCTTAAATACTTCAAAAATGAAAGCAATGCTGTTGGCTTTACTAAAATAATAATAAAAATTAAAACAACAAAAACATTGTTTCTCAGCTACATGCGGAAAGCTGGAAAGAGCTGGTCTAAGAAGCACCAAGAAATGGATTTGTTAATAAAACGCACATTTTAGAGTTAGCAGGAAAAAAAGGAGTTAAATAAACCCAAACATCCTTGTCAAATTTAGAATGCATATTTGGAACGTGAAATATGAACTTGGATGTCGAGGGACGTCTCAGGCCTTCATTTTACTTATTGATTCGCTTGTGACTATCTTCTAAGCAAACCTAGAACAGAGAAGGTGACTCTATGACAGTGAAGCAATTAAGTTCTGCCCAGGTCCAAAGCTACGGGCAAGCCAGTTTTGCCTTCACGGCCTCTCCCGCCCTCCTCAACCCCTCCCCTAACTCCCCTCCCACTCCCATGCCCTTGCCTGGAGTTTTTATGGGCAGCCTCAGATCTATATTTACCCACTATATTTAGTAAGTTTGATTATGCACAGCCTAAATGCAGATCTGAGATGATGATCCAGATTTTGTTCACTGAAAGAACTTTTTCTTCTTTATAGGTTTGTAGCGAAGGCCAAGCATCGACTTATTTCTCTCTTCTTGCTAGTCAATAGGCCCCACTGTTCTCCTACAGAAGGCTCTGCTGGAACATTCGCCCATGCTGGTTCTTTCCTGACATTTAAGTCTCCACTCAGCTGCCCCCTCTTCTGTGAGGCCTCCCAGACCACTCCACATAAACAACATCCACCTCCAGTCGCTGGCCTCACCACTGTCTGGCATATCACTCTGTCTGTTTTCTGCTTTTTTGGTAAGTTTTTATGTAATTGAAAAAATTTTTTACACACAGTAAAATTTACCCTTTTTAGTGTACAGTTCCGTGGGTTTTGACAAACGCATACAGCCACGCACTGCCACCACAACAATCAAGACACAGAAAAGTTCCATTGCCCTGAAAAGTGTCCCCATACCCCTTAATAGCTAACCCTTCCCCAACCCCAGCTCTGCTCTGTTTTCTGTATCTATAGTGTTGCCTTTTCCAAAATGTCATCCAAATGCAATCATATAGTATGTAGCCTTCTGAGTTTGGCTTCTTTCACTTAATGTATTTGAGACTCCTCTGTATGATTACACCTATCAGTACTTCATTCCTTTTCGTTGCTGAAAATCATTCCATTGTATGGATGGACCACTGTTTGTTTATTCATTCTCCACTTGAAAGACATTCTAGCTGTTTTCAGTTTTGGGTGATCCCAAATAAAGTTGCAATAAACATTCACATATAGTTTTCGTTGCACTTGTATGAAGACCGAGGAGTGGAATTGCTGGGTCATATAAGAAACTGTCACACTGCTTTCCAAAGTGGCTGTACCATTTTGTACTCCTACCAGCAGTGAAGGAGAGTTCTAGAAGCTCCACAACTTCATCAGCACTTGGTACTGCAGAAATTTCACTTAAGCCACTCAGGTAGGTATGGAGTGGAATGTCGTTATGGTTTTAATTTGCATTTCCTTAAGGACTAATGATGCTGAACACCTTTTCATGAGCCTTTTTGCTATTCTATCTTCTTTGATGAAGTGTCTGGTCAAATCCTTTGCCCTTTAAAAAGAATCATTGTTTTCTTGTTATTGGGCTTTTTTTGAGAGTATTATGTCACAAATTCTTTTTATATTCTAGATACTAGTTTGGTTTTTTTCCAGATATATGATTTACGAATATTTTCACCAAGCTTGTGATTTATCTTTTCTTTCTCTTGATGTCTTTCAATGATCATAAGTCTTTAATTTTGATAAATATATTTAGCCTTCTCTTTTCATGAATTGTGTTTCTGGTGTCATATCTAAGAAATCTTTGTCTGACTCAAGGTCACAGAGACTTTCTTCTAAAACTTTTATATTTTTAGGTTTTAAATTTCAATCTAGGATCCCCGTTGAGTTAATTTTTTTTTTTTTTTAAGACTTTATTATTTCCTTTTTCTCCCCAAAGCCCCCCGGTACATAGTTGTATATTCTTCGTTGTGGGTTCTTCTAGTTGTGGCATGTGGGACGCTGCCTCAGCGTGGTCTGATGAGCAGTGCCATGTCCGCGCCCAGGATTCGAACCAACGAAACACTGGGCCGCCTGCAGCGGAGCGCGCGAACTTAACCACTCGGCCACGGGGCCAGCCCCGCCGTTGAGTTAATTTTTATAGGTGGTATGAAATATGGATGGAAGTTCATTTTTCTTATTGCATACTTGTAAGTCCAATCATTGCAGCCCCACTTGTGAAAGACTATCACTTCTCCACTGAACTGGCTTTGCAACTTTGTCAAAAATCAACTGACCATGTAAGTTTGGGTCTGTTTCTGGCCTCTGTTCCATCCCACTCATTTACATGCCATCCTTTCATCAGTACCGCTCTGTTTGATCACTGTAGCTTTCTAGTAAGTCTTGAAATCAGGTAGCTTTTACTCTGTTTATCTTTTCCGGAAAACTTACCACTGTCTGAAGTTATCTACTTGTTTACCTTTTTAATGTCTCTCGGGAGACACCAAACCGTGAGATTTTCTAGATCCATGAAACCAGGGAGCTTGTGCCTATTTCATTCTCTGTGATACCCCAGCACCGAGAAGAGTGCCTGGCACACCATAGCTGCTTAACAAATTGGTTGGAAAAAAGCAGGAAAGAAAGCAATATTTAAGTTGAGGAAATCAATGGGAGTTATTATTTTGGAGGAAGAAGGATCAAATTGTTTAGTGAGAAGCTGTGAGTAAAATACAGGCTTGGTTCATGTGCTAGCACGGAAGAATAAATGCTGTATAGACCACCGCATTTTTTTTTTTTTTTTTTTGAGGAAGATTAGCCCTGAGCTAACTATTGCCAATCCTCCTCTTTTTTCTGAGGAGGACTGGCCCTGAGCTAACATCCATGCCCATATTCCTCTACTTTATACATGGGACGCCTACCACAGCATGGCTTTTGCCAAGCGGTGCCATGTCCACACCCGGGATCCGAACAGGCGGAACTGGGCCACCGAGAAGCGGAACGTGTGAACTTAACCGCTGCGCCACGGGCCGGTGCCAGACCACGGCATTTTGATCACAAGCTCAGCTCTTTCAGACTCATCAGGAGCTCCATGGGGCCACATTCATTCAGTCATTCATCAAACAATTATCTAGCACCTACTGTATAACACCGTGTTACGAATGGCAGTAGACAAGATCTTGTGCTCCAGGTATGAGGGGTAGCAGACAAATAAAACAATACTTGAGACAGAGTTATCCAGGTGCCCTAAAAGTGGTGCTGCACAGGGCTCTTCGAGTGACGTTGGGAAGGCGTCTAAGCCTGGAAGGCTTCTCAGAGGAGGACACACTTGATTAAGACCAAGTTTCAAAAGGAGGCTTTGAGCCCCAGCTTTCCTTTAAAAGAGACACTTCGTAACAATGTACCACAGGTTCTACGGGGTCTTGGGTTCCATTGGTGGTGGTTTTAAGGATTAACGGCTCTAGGTCTCCCAACCAATGCTCTCTTCGCCCCCCTGCCTCTCCTTCATGACACTTATTGCAGTTATGAAGACACAACTACTTAGGCAGTGAGCTACTTAATGCCCACCTCTCTCTCAATACAACGCGAGCTCCATGGTGGCAGGGACTTCACCGGCCCTGCTCACCGCTGCGTTTCCACGGCGCAGGGAGCACGATGCACTCTGTGTGGGAGACAAATGATGCAGAACGAGTTTACCTGAGTGCTTTCCCTTGCTGATGAAATCGTTTTGTCCCCTTGCTTACTTTTATCAACAGCTGTTAGCTCTTCTTTTATTTTCAAATTACTTTAAAATAATTAATAGTCAAAATAAAGTTACCCGCCCCGCCCCCCCAACAAGGAAAAAGAGAAACTTTCAAATCATGTGTAATGGTGGGTGTTCATGTTTTTAGTAAGTAAGTTGTTGATCTTGAGGTGTTTTTAGCATGCCACTGATGCTCAGATGCTGTCAGGGATCAGCGGAAAAACAAACATGCTCTTTTGCTTTTGCGTGTTAGTAGGGTCTATTGGGCCCCAAAAATGGGTAGAATAAAAAGTAAATGGAGAGAAAGTTATTTATTTTGGTGCTAAATTACCAATAATTCCTCTGGGTAATGCCATCTATTTTGGTTCTCCCCAATACACACACACACACACACATCCTTGTGCTTCTCAATTGCTGCAATGGCAAATTGAAGTTGAATGTGGGGGACCAGGAGAAAGGTGTGACCACTGTTGAACATTTATTTGAGCATCTACCGTTTTAAGTACACTCCAAAGATTCTGTCATTTAGTCCACATCTCTACTGAGGATACTGAGGCTGAGACATCAGGAGAGGGATGGTAAAGAAATATAATTAAGATCTGGGATTCCCGGGAGAGTCACTTTTTAAGCACCCTCATCTGCTTAGTTACCTATGTCAGTCAGACCAGCTGTTGAGTGAGAGGAAAAGGGAAACGCAAAGGCACCTGGCCCTCGCTCAACAGCCTGTTTTGACACGGCTCTGGCTATCTGGAGCATCAGCAGACTTTGACAAGCTCTCGCTCTGACCTTGTGGGCGATGTGTTTGTGCCTTCATGCAAAGCAGGGGCTGGTCAAGGCCAAGGCCCTCTCCGGGTGGTTTTCTGGTTAAAACCCTGTTCTTTAAGATGAAGTGGAAGTGGGACTCAAGAGTTACGAGTTTACATGGTTCTTGCATTCAAAAGGTGGGTTTTCTAAAACCTTACAAAAATTCATTTTCTTTTCCAAAATCCAAATGATTCTGTTTGGAATGAACTACAAATCATCATCTATTTACTTATTGAAAGAGTTGGACAGCAGAGAACAGGAAGAAAGGGAAGAAGAAAGGAAAGTTTCATTTATTGAGCATCAATTATGTGAACTATTAAATACTGGAACATGTTATGGACATCCTGGCAATCTCCCAGTGAGGTGTGTGTTGTTTATCCCATTTTACAGATGAGAAAACTGAGGCCCAGGCAGGTTAAATAGTACTAGTGAGCAGTCAGCCTGTTCTCTCTGAGGCCCAAACCTATGCCCTTTGCTTTACATGGCAGGATGGTGCAGAGGGGTGGGAGCGAGGATCCCCTCCTCCGTCAGAATTAAAGATGTGATCCATATCCCTAATTGACAATAGGTTTCAAAGATCCATAGCATGTGTGACAACTTGCACACAACATACACAACTGCAGCCTTGTCTGTTTTTCTCCTCCCCTGCTTCAAGGTCAAAATTTCTTTTTCTCATCTCTGCCAAAGAATTCTTGGTGTGGTTTCCTGAGTTTCCTCTTCTCTTCAAGCTTTTCAATACCACAGGGACACGATGCTTTGATAAAAGCCTTGGGGAGACATTATAACATGAGGGAAAAATCTCTTTGTAATAAGGAAGTTAAGAGCGACAGTGTCCAGGGGTTTTATTTGTGTGGCTGATTTCATGTGTGGATTTTTAATTGGCTCTATTCAATAGGTGTAAAGATGGGGAGTTTTTCCAGAAACGTTTGTTGTATCCATCTCATTGTGGCAAGTCCTTTGTATCAGATAAAATCTGCATAGATTCTAAAGAGAGGCACGTCCTGACTTACATGGTCTCAAAAAATGTCCTTTAAATGGACTCCTCTTTTAGATGTATTGGAATAACTGCCACAGCAAGTCACCCCTTAGTGAGTGTAGGTCAAAGGAGATCATCTTTAAACTCCACATTTTGCAGATGAGAAAACCGAATGCCAAAAGGAAAGTGACTTTGCCTGAGGTCACACAGCTCGTATTGCCCAGCTGGAAGGAGAATTCACTTTGTAGGACTCTCCAGTGGTCTGTTTCAGGATCAGATTGTTATATATTGAATTCTGTTTAATGGAACATAAAACGTTCAACTCCATATCGGGATCCAAATCTCCTTAGTGAAGAAGAGTGGATGCTTTTGCTCCTCTTAGGAAAGATGGAATTATTTTGAACTTCTTCACTTGGTCGTACGGTGAATTGAGATTTTATAAACATAGTGTGAAATGGATGAGAGCATTTCTTACCGAAAGAAAGGATTCTTTAAATCGAGGATGTTCCCAGATCTGAAGCCCGTCTGGTTGACCAGCGCCACGATCTGAATGTCATAACTCTGTCTGTGTGGCAGAAAAAAAATAACACCTCATCTCACAAGGTGGGTTAGCTATTCACATCCATTTAGGGCCTCTTCTACACGTACCCAGTTCATGAGGGTTTTACCAGTAGGTTTTGCAGCTTTTATATGTTCATGTGTGTTTATATATGTTCATGTGGATGCTATTAATATCAGTAGAGGCAATGGAAGGTCTTGTTTATTTTTTGGAAGAATTCAATAGCTATAATTTCTTGTTCCAAAAATTACAAAGGTAGTGGTACATCTAATCGGTCAAAGTGATTTTTTTTTGGAAAAGAAAAAGCTTTACCAATATCAATGACAGAAATGGCTTTAAGTAACAGAGACACTTTATGGGTCACCATTGATGCACTAAAACAATCTTAACCACGGAAGGATTGGCTAAGCTAAAATCGCAAACTGACGTGAAACAGCTAACAAATGTGATGGATGTTAAGATGAAGGCTCATGCAATTACAGTGAGAAGAACTGGCTGATAAGAACAAGTAATATGACATCTCCTAGATGACTCATCTAAAGGAGCTATGTTTATAGGGTTTTTATTAGTCATTCTCAAGAAGATATGTATTTCTTCCAATTATACAAATGTTACATATTGACTGTAGAAAAACTGAAAAATAAGGAAAAACAAAGAAAAGAAGCCCTAATATCTTTAGACAAAGATTCTTCCAGCTAACATTATAAAAGTGTTTTACTTCTATGTATTTTTCCCTCTGTGTATTTATAAATGTAAATTTTTAGCAAAACGTTGCTTAAATATTCCTTCATATCACCTTATTTTAACACTAGCAAGCATTTATCCTGTAATTCTTGACAATGTATTTTTTAAAAGCATTATATGGGTATAGCACAGTTTATTTACAAATTCCCCGCAGTTAAATATTTATATTTTTATAATATCATATTATTATAGTAACAAAACTCTAGTTTTATGACAGAAATTCTGCTGCAAAGGACATTCTTGTAACACATCTTTATGTCTTATCTATGACTATTTCCTTGGAATAAATTCTTAGAGGCAGACTCACCAGGCTAAAGCACACAGACATATTTAAAGTTCCCAGCACTTATTGCTAAAATGTCTTCCAGAAAATGTACCAAATTACTTCCTCACCTACAAAGTATGAAAGTGCTAATTTCTTTTTTTTTTTTAAGATTGGCACCTGAGCTACCATCTGTTGCCAATCATCTTCCTTTTTTTTTCTTCTTCTTCTTCTCCCCAAAACACCCCAGTACATAGTTGTATATTCTAATTGTGAGTGTCTCTGGTTGTGCTATGTGGGACACCACCTCAGCATGGCCTGATGAGCGGTGCCATGTCTGTGCCCAGGATCCGAACCAGCAACCCTGGGCCACCGAAGCGGAGCGTGTGAACTTCACCACTCGGCCACAGAGTTGGCCCTTAAAGTGCTTATTTCATTACACTTTTTCTAGTCTTTCATATTTAAATGTTAGGAGTTAAACTATTATTGATTATTTTAATTTTAATTTCCTTGATTACTATGTTTCTTTTTTAAATTCCAGAAGTTGGTGAGTGATATAAATTCCTCCACTCCCATTCCCACCCTGTCATTACCCATAGAGACCTGGGTGGGTGTAAATACAAATGTCAGATCCTGTGAAACCAGTGACTTGATTTCTAGATTTTACTAGAGCCAAACAAAATATGAGGAAAACCTAGCCACACATAAAAAAAAAAATCAATTATGTCCTTTGATCCTATTTCAACTCGTCTAATTGACTCAGAATTTTTTTGTTGTTGTAAAATGTTTCTTCCATGATACTCACATCCAGTAGTTCACTGAACTTGTGATATTTGAAGGGAGATTCGACGAGAACTAGACATGGAGACAATGAGCTCCCTAGGAGAGGTGCAACCGGTGGTGGAATCATAGAAAAGCTGAGGTCAACCTGGTAAATAAGTCAGGGAGGGACACACCTACACATTTTACCAAATGAAAGACACTGTCTTAACAATATTTGAAGTAATTAATACAGAACTTAAAGCAGAAATTGAGTACTCTGAGGTATGTGCAAATGTGTGTGTTTATGGTGCACGTGTGAGTGCGATTTGTCACAACTGAGAACTGAGTGGTGCCTGGTATGGTTGGGAAGAACAATCAGGAAGTTCTTACTGTGGGATCTTCAGCTAGGCTCCTTTTCAGAATACTAGATTTGATAACACTGTCACTTTATACTCACTTTTCACAACCCACTCCTCCTCTTCACCCATCATCAAAATCCTACCTTCCCTAATGGGAGGAAGAAAGAGCTTCATGTCATGTCATGTCATGTCATGGCTCAGTTTGGTCAGTTAAAAGTGGAAATTTGTTCTCAAAGTCCTTCCATCTGTGTGTAGGGGGGATTGGTGAGTGGGGGAGGGGTTAAGGGATGAGGTGGCGGGGGGACAGCTAGATTCATTGATTTGATAGTGACTCATCTAACCAAGAAAGAATGTTCCCTACCTAAAATTGCAAGAAAATAATGCACTTTTCTTTCCCAGGAGTGGTGTTATGCTAGTGCCAAGGTACCCAGAAGGCCAATTCCAAACCCAATAATTAATGTGCAGTGTTTATAAAGCAACCAATAATGGACAATCTTCCAAGACTGTGTCTACAGGACCCTAAGTAACTAGTAACCCTTTTGAACCAGTTATTTGGCAATGCGTATTTTAAAAAAAAAACCCAAAAAACTAGTTCTTTGCCAGACGTAGTCATTTTAAATCTTACAGAGACAGAGCAGGCGATGCGAGTGGGGACGTACCTTAGTTCAAGGATTGAATACAAAATCATTACTTAGTATACCAACATATCTTTTGTAATATTCGGGAAGATATTGGAAACTTGGGAACAACATATGCAGGACATGTCTTTCTGGAGAATGTGGTAATTCATGATAATTTCATCTTAGAGAAAAGAAGATGCAATAGTGGGATATGCTTAGTGTTGACCATCAAGGAGGAGTGGGATGGAGAAGCAGAAGTAGCAGGAAGGTTGGGGAAAAATGGCCCAAGTCATCTACTGATAGGTAAAAGAAGGAATGAGAACCTCAGCAAGCGTGGACTCTAGACCAGTGTTCTTCAAAGAGGTTTGAGCGTGCCCCAGAGAGGATGTGGGATGATACACTGGAGTGTGGAAGAAAATACTGAACCATTATTTTAAATTTTTTCAATTAGTTGTTATAATGCATAGAATTGTCTCCTGCCAAAATATATGCTTAAGTCCCAACGCTGATACCTGGGAATGTGGTCTTCTTAGGAAATAGGGTCTTCGCACATGTAATGAAGTTTAACGAGGTCATACCAGGTTGAAGTGGGCCCCAAATCCAATGACTGGTGTCCTTATAAGAAGAGGAGAGGACACACAGAGAGACACACAGGGAAGAAGGCGAAGTGAAGACAGAGGCAGAGACTGAGTGATGCAGCTCAAGAAACACCAAGGATTGCCAGACACATCGGAAGCTGAAAGACGAAAGGAAGCTTCTTCCCTGGAGCCTTCAGAGGGAGAGTGGCCCTGCTGACACCTTAATTTCACACTTCTAGCCTCCAGAATTGTGAGAGAATCAATTTTTGTTGTTTTAAGCCATTTGGTTTGTGGTAATTTGTTCCAACGACCCTAGGAAACTAATACAGTTGTTTACCAAATACATCACTAGTGAATCCACTAGGTAAATGCTGGATTCTAATCACCAGCTAAGAGTTAAGATACCTCTTGTGTCCACTAGTTCCTTAGGTTTGGCTAAGGTGGGATGGTTCAGTAAGACTCTGATTACACCTTAAATAATGTGGTACAACGTCACTGAGGAAATACCAACCATGAGATGGACACATGGGTCAGAGCTAGAAGACTGAGTAACGCACAGAACGAAGAAATGTCACTTAAAGCTGCACCAGCACATACTCTTACTCCCCTGGTCCTCATCGTGCACAATAGTTTCTCCTTATAATTCCTTTGGATGCAGCTATCTGAAGACATAGCTGGGGAGGGGTTCATCTTAGGTGAGGGCCAAGGTAGAGCAGTTTAATGACCACCATTAGGAGCAGCACTGGAAGCTTCCAAAGCTTTAATGCTTTGGTCAGCATTTTCTCTGGTTTTATAAACCACAAAGCTCATCAGATTCTCTGCAAACCAAGTTCTCTGGCAAACCTGGGTAGAACAGGCCTTCATAGGGATTCAAAAAATTTAAAATTATATTTCAAGTCATTTTGGCACAGGATAAGTGGCTGAGCTACAGCCAACAATCAGCCTATATTTATTTTTTCTATTGATTCTTTTTATTTCTATTTTTGTGTCTTATAAAATACACACGCTATGAATTTCTATATATGTATATATACACAGAGACATGTCTGTGCGTGTGTGTATATATATAGATATACATACGTATCTATCTATAGAGACAGCACTTAGTTTTGTGCTTTCTATTATTGCTGTCGTATATTCACAGAATTAAAAGAGAAATATTAGTATATTTGGGTGCACATACCTAAAGTGTTTTTACTCATAGGTGCACATGATCAAAAAACTTTGGAGACCATGTCTGTGAACTCTAGGGATAAAAATTTCATAAAGTTCATAAAAAAGATAAGTCCTATTTTATTGTCCAGAGCAATAAAATGAATGACAGCTCAAGAATGATGGGAGGCTGTCAAAAATAAAATGCTAACAATACAATCATAAATGGTCCTGGCGGGGAAGAAAAGGGCAGTCATTGTCACACCTGTGTGGTTGCAGAAGGAGTTCTCCCAGGAGGTCAGAGTGTAAAAGAATATTTGACAATAAAGGAGGAGAAGATCATATCCAGGGCAGAACAGAGATGTTGTATCTTACTGAAAAAATAGCACGAAAACACTCATGTTCAGGAAACGTTGAAGTTTGCAGAAAATTCCAAGGAAAACTAATTTTCAAACAAAATATCTGATGAGATACAATGAAAGTAAGAAAGAAAATAAGGGAAGAGGCAATGGAACTAAGATTTACTGTGGACCCACTATGTCTTCATGACTATACTATGTTCTCTCCTTTAATATTTACAAAAGCCTAGTGAGAAAATTACTGTAAATTCTACTTTACAGATGATGAGGTGGGGAAACTCGGGTGCTAGCGAGATTCATGAACATGCCCAAGATCACTCGAGTACCAACCAGGATGGAGAAGAGACCGGACAGAACTAGGATTCATCAGACTCCAAAACCTGCTCTCCCTCCGCTACCCAAAGCTGCTGGTCTACGAAGACAAAGAACTTCCTTCTTCCCTCCCACCCTTTCTTCCTCCTGCAAAGTATTGCAGGCCTGTGATATCCTAGTGTCTTCTTTCAACTGTGCCAGACTAAGTTCCTAATAATCGGGAGATCATCAGCTTATGACTCCTTCGTTCAGTCAGTCACTCCCCAACACTGCCCAGTCTCTGAAATGTATAAGTGAGGAGGGACACACCATGGAAAAGGACTCAGGCCCGCTTTGGGGGAAGCTCATATACAGGCAAATAACAGCAATACAACATTGGTGCCATAATAAAGGTGCAGAGAGCTGTAGGAGGCCTGGGAGTCATGAGGTAGGTATGTGAGGTAAATGGTTTGCTTCCTTCTTACCTATTAGGGGAAGGAGAGGAGGGTAGACAAATACGCCTGATAAGGATGAAACCCAAGAAACAGAAATAGAAGAAAGTAATGGAAGAATAAGATGATTTAAATTCACTCACCTAATAATTACACCCTAGGATACCCCAAAATATAACTCACGCTCTCTCTCCTGTGCTGCCACAGAGTGCCACTGCTTCCTGCAAATGTGGCTCCTCTCGTGATTCTTTAGGTGGTTCTGCATGTTCCAGTTCCAAGAGCATTTCTGCCCAATAGCCTTGTTCACCCCAAGTCCTGAACAAGATGTTACAAACAAGGAAAAAAACTTTTGCATTTCAGAAAATGCTCCTCACCCTCAGGTAGTGTATTTTTGCGAGCACTTTCTGACATGCACTGCCACTAGCTCAATTGCCCCTCTTTGCACTTCTTCTCTGAAGTGCATGGTGGATCCCTCCTCACTTAGCACATTTCAGAGACCAGGAACCCAAGAAATAGAAATAGAAAAAAGTAATGGGGGGCCGGCCCGGTGGTGCAGCGGTTCAGTTCACACGTTCTGCTTTGGCGGCCCAGGGTTCGCCAGTTCAGATCCCAGGTGCAGACATGGCACTGCTTGTCAGGCCATGCTGTGGCAGGCGTCCCACATATAAAGTAGAGGAAGATGGGCATGGATGTTAGCTCAGGGCCAGTCTTCCTCAGCAAAAAGAGGAGGATTGGCAGCAGATATTAGCTCAGGGCTAATCTTCCTCAAGAAAACCCTAAAAAACCCAAACACACACACACAAAAGAAACTCTGAGAGAATATGCAAGAAACAGCAACAGGGGCTACATGATCGAAGAGGAGGGGCATGAATGGGGTCCAGCACTAAAAGGAAGATTTTATATTGTAAAGCTTTTTATTGTGAATGGCATAACTATATTATCTATTAAAAAATTAAATAACCCTTTAAGGAGACAGAAACTTGTAATAACTAGAGATCTAGCACAGTTTTACTAAAAAGTGAGAGCTATGACCAAAGTGTCATTTCCTCTTTCGACACGATTATTGGGCCAGGCTATGGGGGTGAAGCCAGCAGTTAAGCTCATCTGGAGATCACATTACATAAAGGTTTTCTCCTATTTCCTTCTGGCCTGGATGAAGGAATGTGGGCTGGGGTAGAGGTGAGCTGATTCTCAGCTATTTCCATTATGGAATTCAAAGGGTGTAGATCAGGCTATGCAAATTTTGAAGGGGAGATTACATCCTTGGCCTCTTTCCGCTTAACAATTTCAAAATAAAAATTTGCCTATTGGGCCGGCCCTGTGGCTGAGTGGTTAAGTTCTCGCACTCAGCTGTGGCGGCCCAGGGTTTCGCTGGTTCAGATCCTGGGTGCGGACATGGCACCACTCGTCAGGCCATGTTGAGGAGGCGTCCCACATGCCACAACTAGAGGGACCCACAACTAGAATATGCAACTATGTACTAGGGGTACTTTGGGGAGAAAAAGCAGAAAGAAAAAAAAGAAGACTGGCAACAGTTGTTAGCTCAGGTGCCAATCTTAAAAAAAAATGTTCCTCTTAAATTTGCAAGCAATACATAATGGTAGGAATCACTAATATGCTACACAAAATAACTTTCAAAAATAAATTAAATAATCCATTGGCTCTAGTAAGGATCTAAACCAGCATGATAAATGCATGAGTGGGATAAATACAAAGAGTGGAACCAAAGCCCACAACAATTAGCTGCTCACTAGGAAAAGGGAGAAATATGACTTAAAACCAGATCATGTGAAAATACACTTTTTGGTTTTAATTGACTAAACACTCAAGTAAAATGTCCCCCAAACTTAATTTAAACTTTAATTACATTATTATAAGTATGCTACTCAAAACAGCAGTGGTCACTGTTGCTCTGGACCCAGCACTTATCAGAACACAGTTAGTTTTGGAGAAATATTTTAAAGGGAACATTTATAACCCATTTCTGGAGGAGAGCACTTAGAATTTCAAACTACTTCAAAATCACTCTTAAAGGAGGGAGGAGTGGAGGATGTTACCCTGAAGACCAGGAGACAGGGAGGTTATTAGGTAGAACTCTCCAAATGTTTGCACTGTCATTTGGAGGTTGGAACAGACCTATTTCTTTTGAATTCAGAAACACGACTAAAATCAATGAGCAGAATTTACAGGAAGTAAGTTACAGGATCAACAATGACAATAACTTTCTAATAGTTTGAGATGTCTCAAGAAGAAGACATTAATAGCCCAAGATCATATGAAAAGTTACTTAATCTTATCAATAATTAAAGAAATACAAACAAAAATAACCGGCTGCAACTTTTAAAAATTATTTTTGGGTCTATAAGATTGGCAAAACCATGGAGACTGATAACATCCAGTTTAGGGAAAGATGTGGAGAAATGAGCATGCTCATTGATTGCTGGGGTGGGTAGAAACTGGCGCAACCATTGAGAAAGGTGCCATCTATCACACTGTAACATGTACACACCTTTTGATCTGGCATTTCCATTTCTAGGTAACTCTTTTGGAAATATTCATGTCACCATGAAAGCTATATGTTCAAGGATGTGTATTGCAGAATTTTTTGCAATGGAAAAAAGACTTGGAAGCAACCTAAATATCAGTCAATCAGGGGTTTTTAAAAAGACATTATAGGGGCCGGCCCAGTGGTGCAGCAGTTAAGTTTACATGTTCCGCTCCGGCAGCCCAGGGTTGGACAGTCTGGATCCCGGGTGTTGACCTACACAACGCTTGTCAAACCATGCTGTGGCAGGCGTCCCACATATAAAGTAGAGGAAGATGGGCACGGATGTTAGCTCAGGGCAAGTCTTCCTCAGCAAAAAGAGAAGGATTGGTGACAGATGTTATGTCAGGGCTAATCTTCCTCAAAAATAAAAAGACGTTATAGTATATCCATGCTCTTGACTATGCATCTATTAAAAAGAACAAAGCAGATCTATTTGTACAGATCCAGGACTTATTACTAAGTGAAAATTTAAGTTGAAGACTGCTAGTGTAATCTTCTTGTAAAACAACAACAAAATACCCCACAATGATGTTATTTGTTGGTAAATGCACAGAAAATCACCCAAAAGATATGGACCAATGGGTCACATCTGGGGAGTGGGGTGAGGGGTGGGAGTGTGGGTAAATTCTAGACACTTTTGTGGTTTTGAATTTCTATGTAAGCATGTTAACTTTTTGTCATTAAAGAAATAATGACTTTAAAAATGGAAGGGTTGATTTGTGAGGTGGTGAGCTCTCTGTCACTGGAGTGTTCAAGCACAGACCCCAGGAAGGGTGGGAGGTAGGGAGGGAAAAAAGTTGACTGAGATGACCTCTGAGCACCCTGAATGTCCTGAGAGTCCTTGAAGCACTCTGCTACTCCTTTCTCCTCTAAGTCACCCAGGAGAAGCTCCAACAAGATGAAAGAAAATAGAGCATTTAAAAAATGAGATAAATCAAAATAATCGCTGTAGAGACCTCGTGAAATCCATTACCAGCAACCAGTCCTGCCTGACACCGTACCCCACCCATACAGTGCTTTTCCCCCTGCAGTATGCATCGATTTTATTGTGCTAAATTTGGGAGTGTGTGGCTAGACAGATCTAGGTACGGCCAGGAAGCTGCCATAGGATTTAAAGCGCTTGATAACTCAAGCCTGTGGCCAGTGCTCCCAGGAGCTGATGCATTTCCTTCCTTCCTCCGTGGTCAGGTGGAGAAGGCTGCCCTTGAGTTATCTGAAGCTTCTCTTTCTTGCCACCCTCAGTGCAAGGGTGACATTGGTCCTGCAGGCTCTGACCTGTGCAAGCTCAGCCAGGCCTCTGTAAAGCCCGCTGTCCATTCCTAGGTGCTGAAGTTCCCAGGGCCTGCCAGCTGCCTCCTGCTTCCATCCCTCAGGGCCCAGTAAGCACTGTCCTGCTTACCGTTTATTGGCTACAAACAGCACTTTCCCCGAGAGGGTCTCTCCTTCCTTGGCAAAGAGAGGGGTCTGAAGAAGGCACCGCACCTGATACCAGTGAGTCAGAGGCTCCGTTGGGGCTGTTGACAGCCAAACTGTTACCCTGTGGGGCAAGAAGAGAGTCAAAAGCCAGTTATGTTCCAGGCCCATATGAATAAATTGGACTGGGCACTTAGGTTGATAAGCGGTTTCATTGTTTTTAACTCATGGAACCCTTTGAAGATGACAGCTCAATTTATTGAGCGGTTATGATGTGCTGGGTACTATACTAACAGCTTTATGTATATTAGTCCATTAAGTCTATACAACAACCCTATGAAGTAAGCCCAGAAAGGTTAAAGGACTTGCTCAATGTCACACAGAGGATGACTGGAGATTCAGGCTTCAAACCCATGGACTTGGCCACTCTGTCAACACGTATTTCTGAGTCAAAGCTCATCAGAAGCACAAAAGGTAACAGATTTAAAGTGGGAATTGATTTGTTTGAAAAGTCAGGCAGGGGGAGTAGGCTGGAGTTGGCCTATTACTGTCTCAGGACAATCTGTTCAGGGGTCCTGACCAGGCTTCTGGAAGCAAGGAAACTACTGGAGCAGACGGCCTCTACTGTCCTTCTAGCTTGGACGTCCTGCATTGGGGTGGGGGGGGGGGAGCAGAGGGCGTGTCTAAGTTGAGGTTCTTCATTTCCTATGAAGAAGTGAGAACGTCTTGCTGTGCTTTGAATGCCGAGGTCACCTGTCCTGGGGGTTAGGCGGTGGTTGTTGGCTTGTAGGGAGTAAGGTGTCCATCAAGGATAGGGCGAATTCCTAGAGGGTTAATTCTGACTTGAAGATTTTGGGGGGAAATTTTACATAATTTAAGTACTAGGTAATATAAACCACTTTTATATCAAAATATACTCAGCTATATTATGGAGTAGAATACAAATTTTCTACAACTTTTAAGATAAAGCATTTAACTTCAAAGAAATTTCCCACTTGAAGCAGGCCACTTCAAGTTTATCTCCCTTAGCCCTGCAGAAACAAGTTCACGTCCTTGGGATATTACCGGAGGAAAGTGCAGATTCTTTGAACAAATACGCTATGCGGAATAGGAATGACCTGCACCTCATTTGTGCTCTCTCTGACTGTCAGCCCAGACAAAGCTTCCAGGGATCCCCTCCACCCCTGAGCCCCCCAAGCCCCTTGAGCTTTATCAGAGACCCACAGGCACTTCTTTCTCAGCAGGTGCAATGATGAGCCTGGATGTTTTTATAAGGAGTGGAGGAGAGCGTACTAGAAAAGTTTTCCCTTTGCCTCATCACGTGATCCAGATCAACTCCCTTTGCTAGTGGGACACAGGAGAATGCCAGGGAGCAGGGAAGTCAGGAGGACAGCAGAGATGTGGGGGTCGTGGGAGTGGTACAGCCCTTACAAGGGACACCAAGCTGACTTGTAGGTGGTCTCTCTCCTCTTTTCCCTGCAACTTTGAAATCTTTGCAGTAGGGGGAAAATGAGTTCACACAGGGAGAATCTACCTAATGTTGCAATTCATATTAGTAACACATGACAGCTTGATCTTAAAGGATTCTAGACTGTGAAACTGAAGGCTGCGAAGCACAGAGGGGAAAGTATGATTCAAGGTATTATCTAGACACAAGAGGTTCTATAACCAGGTGTGATGGAAGCCAAAGCAGGGGTTTGGGGGCCCCCTGCCTATCCTGGAAAAGAACAAGAGGGTCGATAAAGACCCTCTGTGCCCTCTTTCACGCCTGCAAATCCCAATCCAATTGGCTTAAGAGGTTCCACAGTATTTTGGTCAGACTTGATACGACGTTATGGAAAACCATCTCATTTTCACTTCATCCTAAAATCTAGAAGCAACATTAACATCAGTGCTTATTTTCTTGAAAACTGAAGAAACAAGTATTATTGTTGTGGAAATTAATTGTTAAAATCTCTAAAGTTAGGATTACGAACAGCAGAGGATAGCCTGGGATAGAGCAGACAGAGAAGGGGGATGATACATACAGAGATCCAACAAAGGCCACGTCAAACCAGAAGGCCAGGCCGTGGACGAGGCCAGACTGTGCCATCTGAAACACAAAGGGGATTTCTACTCTGCAAGGAAATAAAAAGAGAGAAAGAAAGGAGAAACGCTTGGAATCATCTTTTTGTTGACAGGCATCCTAGACACATTTGTGAGAACAGTGGGAACATTCACAGAATATTTTCTTTTTCTCTTAAGCGCTTTTGCTTTGGCAGCAAGGTTCTCTCTGTGGGTGATGGATGCTTGGGTGACACCGTGCATTTGAGAATGGTGCTTCTTGACAAAACTCCGCAAGGGCCACACCACCGTGCCGCAGCGACCCAGAACGCCACAGAGCGAGTGCAGCCTCCGGAGCTGGGTTCAATTACTGAAGAGCAGGACGAGCCAGGACACAGGGGACAACCATCCCCAGAGAAGCCAAAACATGGGCTGTGGCAGCTCCCCTGCGCAGCTGTGCAGGAGGGAAAGGCCGTTCAGCCTTCCAAAAAGTGAAGAGCACCACAAGGGGGAACATGAGGCTCAGGAAGTCACTGTCATAGTTCATTTATTTTTCCGGGAGGCAATTTAACTTCTCACCAGGCACCAGGCAGAGTCACGCAGAAGTGGCTATGGTTTATGCCAGATGCAGAATAAGTGTGAATAGAAAGAACGTTGGAAAAGATATAACAAAATCTAGATGCTGGACCTGAACTATCTGGGGAAGCTTGGAAAGTCACTGAAATTCTCTGAACCTCAGTTTCCTCATTTGTTGAAGGGTGGCAAAAATCTCTCTTGCTTCCCTCACAAGGTTCTGTGCAGGTCAAATGGGGAAAAATGTATATGAGAGTGCTTTGCAAACTTTAAAGTGTTTCACAATTAAAAGAGGACATTATTGGTCCATCGCTGGGGCCATGTCACTCCAAGGAGACTTATTGTAGGGACTGCTCTAGAGATTTGCAAAGGAGGTTGTATATTTGCACTGATGATGCCCCCAAAGGCCTAACTTCTTCTACCCTGCAGCAGTCAGAGCATTTCGAGAGTTTTCCATTGTACTTGTCACTTTGAATTTGTTGGTACTGCATTGTAATTATTCTTCCCATTTTTTGCATTTCCCTCAATGGACTACGAGCTCCTCAAGGGTAGACTTTACAAAACGACTTTTTGTACCAGCATAGTACCTGGCATCATAGGAGGTTCTCAATCAACATTCGCTAAATCAATGCACAAAAGAATGGATGACATCTCTGGAAAGCTAACATAGACACAATTTTCAAAAAATTCCCTGGGACTCAGGAGGTAGCCCAGGGCAGCAAATAAAGCCAATGAAAGTCAATTTTGTCCAGGCTTGTGGTAGTTATTAGAGTTGTTCCCAAACACCCATTCTCTCGCCCCAAGCAAACAGTAGGATTGCATTTATCTACTCACTGGAGCTCAGGCACTGTCACGTGATATGGTTTGACCAAGTAAATGCAAACAGAGGTGAGTTGTGTCATTCCAGGCAGGAGATTTTATTGCCAATACATACTTTGCCACACACCTTCTCTTTCCTTAGCAACCAAAATTATCACTGAGGAATAGACAGACCAGATAGAGGCTGCTGCACCAGCCTGATTGCTGGGGTGGGTGATGCAGAGCTAAAACTGGTGCACAATGGATTAATAGAGTAGGAGAGTAAGACACCCAAGTTATCAGAAGCCACTGAGGTTTCCTCTTGTTAACGCAGCATGTTCTAGCCTATGCTGATGGACACAGTACCCTTTGTCCATCGTGATCTCAAGATGGCTGATGGTTTGAGTGAGCCAGCTGCCCCTTCTAAAGTCTGACCCTTGCTTCCTCACGAGTCCAGGCAGATTACAACCTGACTGGGTCTTAAATTTCTTACCCAGAGAAAAATTATGAATATTGATCTCAGAAGAAAGAAGAAAAAGGGTAAAATACTTGTGAAAAGTCACCCAAAGAGGATTCACATCACCATCTGAGAAATGAGTCCTCATTTCAGAGGCTCTTCACCTGGAGGGAAAGGGGGCAAAAATTAACATTTATTGAGTGACCTCTTTGAAAAGGAGCCAGTGCCTGCAAAACTCTTAGCACAGTACCTGGTATGCAGGAAGCACTTCACAAGTGGTAGCTTTTCTTGTCAGTATTATGGGCACTGCCTGGGGGAGGGGTTAAAAAGCCCAGACTCTGGAGCCCATGGAATGGTTCCAATCCTGGCTCTAAGACACTTAGTACTTCTGTGACCTTTTGCAACTCATTGCTCCACTCTGCCTCATAATTGTCATTGGTAAAATGGGGATAACACTAGTATCATTTGCATGGGTTGTTGTGAGGATTAAATGAGTCACTGCCTGTAAAGGGCTCAGAACACTGCCTGGCTATATAAATACAAGCTATTACTCTTTCATTTTTATCATTCAATTCTTAAAACAATCCTATGAAGGAGCCATCATTATCCTCATTTTGCAATACATGAAACTAGTATGGATGCACCATTCCTGCGTGAGATTCACACCCCAAATCTCTGCTCTGAGTGAGCCAGAAAACTCTGCACTGAAGTTCTGGGGAGGGGAGAGGTGGAGAGAAGATTTTAACAACCAAGAGTGACACTGATTTGTACAAACCTGTGGAGATCTGCTTCTTCTGCATCCATAAAGTTTACTGTGTACTTGACTGTCCGAGCCATCAAAATCCGAATGTCAAATGTGTCCTTGGGAAAAAGAAAGCACAAAGATGTTATCTTTCTGTTAGGATAAACTGAACTCAAGCAGGATTGCAGTTTAGCTTTCCTCCTGAAATTTTAAGTCTGTAAGAGTTACAAGATAGAAGGTATGCGCTTAAAGAGAATAATATGAATAATAAAAAGCTAATGTTATTTAGTGCTTACTATATGTCAAGCACTAAGCACTCTGTGCTTCACTACATGCTGAGTGCTTTGCTAGGTTATATCATTTAATCCTCACAATAGCTTGGGAGTAGGCATTTGGTGTTTTTTTAATCATCCAGAATTTACCTCTTCTCTACATTCCAAGAAGTTCCATAGAAACTTAGTCCATGCTCAGCTCTAAGTATGGCAGGTGACTCCATTTTGGCCAATCAGAGCATTACTTTTTCCCTGAAGACAATCATTGGTTCACAGATGGCACATGACTCAGGTGGACAATCAGGCTCTATCTAAACAAATTCTTGAGTTTTGCCTAAGTTATTGGGAAAAGACAGGCTCTCTTGTGGAACTTGGAGTTGTAAGACTCCAAGGCTGGAGCTTCTGCAGCCGTCTTGCTACCATGAGGGGAGATCTTGTCTAGCAACAGAGTTAAATCAGAGAAAACAGAGACAAGTGATGAGAATAGAAAAATCAGATCGTGGTGACATTGTCTGAACTCTTGCAACAGGTCCATGAAACAAGCTCTATCTCCAGGCTTTGCAATTTTTGAGGGGCAGTAATTCCATTTTAGCTTAAGCCAGTTTGAGTTAGGTTTTCTTCTACTTACAACTGAACAAGTTTCAGAGAATGCAAACTTAAAGTTGTCCATGGTTACAGAGCTAGATGGGGCCACAAGTGAAACTGAAATATGTTTGACAGCAAAGCTCCTGTTCTAAGCTATTTATTATACAAAACTTCCTCTTCTATTATGCCTTGGGCCAGTAGAATCAATGGCAGGATATGGATTATTTACCAATTATGAGGGCTGAGTATATGCATGGGGCAGGTCAGGGCAGTGGGAGAATTAGAAGTTACTTATTGAAAGGCAGTTAGAAAATCTCCTTGCTTTCAACAATATCATTCTCTGAGAAATTTCTTAATTGATTGGGAGATCAGAGCTGGAAGACCTGAACACATAGTGCTCGAAGGAGCTCTTTCTTCTCTTCCATAATGGCTTAGCACAGAGCCTGGCAGCACAATGCATGCCAGGTGCATGAGTGAGCGAGTGAGTGAGTGAATCAATAGATAAACACAAGGGGAGAGAGACTGTAAAGAGAACACACTTACTACTATGGGCTGTCTGAAGTATTCCTCCACTGCAGCACCCCGGAGACTGGACAGGTTGACCCCGTAGAAGCACTGCTGGTACCTGAAGTAGACAGCACAAAGAATCACCATTATCTTGTCCTGCACCTGAGTTCCCAAGTCCCTCACAGCTGTGACGTGCTGCGAGGCTGCCTCACAGGTCCTCTATGTTAGCCCTGGAGCGAGTGCGAGAATATACGAAGGGCAACTGGTCTACAGGGAGTGGCAGAGGAGGAAATTCTCTCTAGAGAATCTTCAGACCTGTACTTGACCTGGGGAGGGGAGAGGGGAGGGGGGAAGCAGTTGAGTGAAGGAAATTACTTGTGGGTAGATTACTCAGAAGGATATTTGGAGATAGGAAGCTCTTTGGGCTCCCACTCTTGACCTGATGTCCCAACATGGCTGCCTGCTCTGTGACACGCTGTCCACGTCCTGAAACCCAATTCCTCTGCCTTCTCATTATCCCATCCCAGAGTGTGACTTTAGATCTCCAAAGCCTCTCTATATGCCTGTAGTTTTAGGAAATAGATTTCCCTTGTCTGCTCTTCTGTAGCCACCGGCCTGCACCTTCAGGATGGCATTTGCTGCAGTGGCCGACACGAGGCAGAGAGTCACAAGTGAGTGAGGGCTGTGTCCAGTGGTGAAGTGGAGCTGGCTTGTCAGAGTGCATTGTGCATATTTCTTCCCAATCCCGGGGTCACGGACATCTGGACCACAGAAACTGGCAAACACTACGGATCACGCTGTATCTCCTCCATGAGCCAGAAGTAAAACATTTACCAGCACACCTCTGGCATGTCTTACCTTTATGTACCTGCTGCATGTCAGACCAGGCATGGAGCACAGCAGGTACTCCAGGTCAGCTTGGCTAATGGTCTTGACTATCTATTTAGAGGGGAGGTCTAGGATGTGGATTAAGAGTAGCATTATTCAAGCTCTGCCATGGACTAGCTGTGTGCCTTGGGCAAATCATTTGACCTCTGTGCCTCAGTTTCCTTATCTCTAAAATAAGAATAATTAGAAGCTCACTTTTTAGGGTTATAGTAAGGGTTAAATGAGTTAATACAAGCACTTTCAGCAGTCTTTGACATTTTGTTACTACTATATAAGTGTTGGCTAAAATTCTCTGAACTTCACCTTCTCGGACCAGCACTGAGGACTAGGGTAGTGGTTCCCAGTCTGACTGTGCTGCGGGATTACTTGGGGGAGCTTGTTAAAAATTCAAATTCCCAGGCCCAACTCCAGAAAGTCTTGGGGACCCATCATGAGAGACTGAAAGCCTTTATCCTGAGCTTGAAAAGAGGCGTCCCTAAGAAGGGTGTGTGTGTGTGTGTGTTGTATGGCCTCTGAATCAGATTCATCAGCCTCCACCCTCCCCCAACCCCACACCCACCAACCTGCAGGGAGGAGAGAAAAAAACAACAGCACAGAATAAACATTAAAAAAATGTATGGTGCAGTTAGATTTTGATGGAAGGACCAGTCAGAGTAAGGCTCTAAATCAGAAATCAAAGCTTCAAATGCCCTCTTGGGAGGCCTAATCATGTTATGTCAACAGCCAGTCCTCAACCTGCAAGTGAAACGCAAGCCCCACTGAGCAGCTGACAGATCCTGAAGGGCCTGTACTATCTCTCACCTCTTAGTCTTTACTTGTTTTCCTTTCTATCTAGAACGCCCCTTGCCCCCTTCTGCCCTGTTAATTCCCACTCAATCTTTTAAGACTTAGCTCAAATATTCCCATTTAAAATTTTAAAACCTTGTGTTACGTTAAATATTTAAGTTTTACACATTTAAAAGCAAAAGTATTTTCTTATTCATCAGTATATACTTAGCACTGACCTGGCATATTGTTAGGACTAAAAATTATCTATCTACCTACCTATCTATCTTTAATGAATGAATTGGGGACTTGGTGTCCTTAATAACCCTATGTGTGGGCATGGTTGCCAATGAGGATAACGGAGAAATGAAAAGTCATCAGCCTCAGTTTCTCTGGCTTGATTACTTGTTTTCTAACCTTCTTCCACCAAGGGCTGCAGCCTGGCTGGCCAACAGGTAAAGCTGAACAGTGCCGCATGTCATTTTATAAGTATCCATACTGAAAACAAGGCTCCTACAATCCTAGAAAATGCTCGGAAACAGAACACTGCAAGTTTAAACAAGCTTTCCAGTATTTAGGAGAGTGGAAATATTCTTGGGGAAATAAGTCATTGTCACAAAAGTTTTTATTAGCGGGAAGGAGGAGGGAGAGGGGGAGAAGGGAGGGGACAAGAGGGACAGAGACAGAGAGAGACAGACAGAGAATTTCCCAGAGAGCCCAGAAGGACACCCCCTGGTCCATCTTTAGAATCTCCTGGGAAGCTTTTAAAAATTGCTGATGTCTGGACTGCATCCCTCCAGTTGCGATTTCTTTGATCTAGCGGTTTAGCCGTACTGCTTGTTTGCTTCCAAAGCTCGACAGGTGACTCTAATGTGCAACCAGGGTTGGATACTACTAAGCTAGCTGTTCTAGAATCCTCGCCAAGTAGGTGAAAGAGAAAACCCCAAGGGCAAAGATACTCTCTACCTGGCAGTGACTGAGGTTGAAAACTGCTCTCTATTTGTTGCATACAACCTCAGCTCTCAGAGACGCTCTGTCTGTGCCATTTACTTTGCGTGTTCCATGCCAATTAAAACCCAGCAGCCACGATCAGTGTGGTGCAAACAGGCACTGTTCCTCGGGCAGACGGAGAGCTGCGGGCAAAAAGCCCACCGCCGGGGTTTTAAAAACTTTCTGGCTGGACCATCTTTCTAATTCTTAGAAATCTCAAATCTCTTTCTGAAATGCATCATAAAATAATTAAAGCAGATGGGAGCTGGCGTCTCTCTGGGTCTCCTAAGATACATTGTTGGGGGGTGATGGATCAGGAAACGAATCTGTTGATTTGGAAGCTAGTGATAATTTCCATTGTTTTCATCACATGTGGGTTTTATTTTCCAACTTAACTTCTGGCCTCTTTATGAGCGCATAAGGTGGAGTCCATGTGTGTTTTTTCCTCTTCACTTAAATTTCCAGTGTACTCCTTACCCCCTCCCCTCCTTCTCCACCATAGTACATGCAATATGGGGGAAATTCCTGCAAATACAGTCCAAAGGGAAAACAATCTTACTATTATGTCCTCCTAAACATACCCAGAGTCCAGAGAAAGAGGCATCCATTTACCACCACATTAGCTTCTCTACATTCTCCACGCAGAGCCTAGCTTGGAGAAGCATCCAGGAAAACCTTCCCTCTCTGGTCTCTTTTCTTCTTGTGGCCTCTCCTCTAGTTCACCTGGGTCTTTTGTCTCTCCTCCTCCTCCACACATCTCCTCTCCCCTCCAGTGTCCTGGATCTGTCTGAGAAGGATGGGGGCACAGCCCCAGGTTCTCTTGCAGAGGTTAGCACTGGTCTCTCAGATTCAACAGAGGGGAGCTTCTCCAACGCAAGCACTCCTTTCTCTTGCTGAGATGAACGCACTGTCTCATCGGATAACTCCGATATTTGACTTTAATAAAAATCTTTGCTTCTTCATTCTATTGTACCAAAAACAAATTCACTCATCCACATTAAAAGCTTCCTTGCTTTAAAAAGACCAGAAATGAAAGAAAAGGAATAAGAAGAAGGAGATAAGAGGAATGGAAAATCCTATTCTGCTGTTTGACAATTAAGCAACTTTCGGGTATATTAATGTATTATGCTCTACCAGAATTAACAACCAGGGGTATGCCAACCTGATGAGAGATGCATATAACCCTGAGACCTATAAAACAAAAGAAGGGTCCAAGGATGTCACCTAAGCCACACGTGGTGCTGAGCCACACACAGTATAAGAGTGTGGCTGGAATGGCCTGGTAGGAGTGCCTGGTAGGAGAAGGATGTGTATCTAGGAACAAATTGCACCTTTGTTTCATTTCTTATACATCCCTTATATACAGCAGGACTTTAGGCTTGGTTGTTTTTGACAATTTTCTCCATCAGCAAAATGCAGACATACCACAGTGTAAAGTGGTATCTGTAAAGATGCTTAGCTCATTATGTCTCTTTTGGGTTTAAACTCCAGCAAAGTAATGTGGCTTATATTTTACATGTGATATAGTTATATACCTTTTATATTTGTGAAAATACATTTTTTTTAGTATAAAGAAGAGGTAGAAATGGGTGCACAGTCCTTAAAAGAAATCAAGCTTCAGATTGTGCCTCTTTTGTAAGAAGTAAGGGAAAGCCTGTGATTCTGTAAAGGAACCCATGGAGCATCCCTGGGTGCACCACTGTAGATCTAGACATTACTGGTTTGCATAAGAATTGGAGCTGTATTGGAAGGAAGAGCAGATCACTCAAGACAACTATGGTGGCCATCTCCTGTTTGTTCTACCCAGGAAATAGTTACTCTTCTTCTGGTAACAGCACCAGATTTTCTTCTGGGAAGCACCTCTTCCCCTCTCTCACTTCTTGTGGTTTGGATGGTCTTGACTCTGTCCTTAGTTCTAAAGGTTGGCATGTGGCTCAGTCCCAGCCAATCAGAGCATCTTATCACCCTGGCCTTGGCAATGGACCCACAGTTAAGCCTCTGGCCCGACGAAAGTCAAGACTTTTGCTCAAACTGTCACAAAGGAGAAGTAGAAATGGAGCTATGAGTCTATAAATCTGGATTTGCTGGAAACCACATTGCTGCCATGAGGGAAAAGTTGATTTAAGAATGGAGCTGGATATGAGGGATAGAGAGAGACCAGGAGCCAATGACAGTTGCCTGCACTCTGGAATCCATTTGTGCTGGAGAACTTGAATCTACTTTTCAGCGTTTCAGATACATTAGTCAAAGTAATCTTTTGCTTAAGCAATTTTTAATTGGGTTTTTAGTCATTTAAAACCAAAAGGAGGGCCAGCCAGGTGGCACAGCGGTTAAGTTCACACATTCCGATTTGGCGGAGCAGGCTTTGCTGATTGGGATCCCGGGTGTAGACCTATGCACCACTTGTCAAAGTGTGCTGTGGCAGGTGTCCCACATATAAGTAGAGGAAGATGGGCAAGGATGTTAGCTCAGGGT